AAATGTTTTAGGATCTTAGCCTGGATGAAAATGATGATTACTTCCAAATGGTGGAAAATATTAGAAAATGGCAAATCAAAGAAACGTGGAATTCTTTGTTCAATGTGCCTGTAGATAGGATAAATTTCAACGGGCCCCCAGGAACAACTAACGCATGGTATCAGGTATCATAGGTCTAACGATGCGCTAAATTTATGGGAAACAAATTCGTATTAGCCTCAACTCAACTCCATCACCTTGCCTGCTGCAATTCTTCACAGCCCATTCTACAATCCATCCTGGCCTGCAGCTGTCAACTTCGGAGGGCTGGGGGTTATTGTGGGTAAGGCTCTTCAGATTTGCAAACGAATATCGAATCTGGAATTCAATATTTTCAGGACACGAGCTTACCCATGGATTTGACGATGAAGGTGTCCAATGGGATGGAACTGGCCTATTGGCGGGGTAGGCTAGCTATTACTTGTTAGTCAGTTTTTTGTTGAAAAGAAGAAAACATAAGGTGGATGGACGACTCCTCCATAACCGGTTTTCGCGAAATGGCCGATTGCGTGGTAGATCAATTCAATCATTTTTGTCCTATAAATGAGACAATCTTTGGTCGTGAAGTATGTGTAGATGGAGCAATGACGCAGGGTGAAAACATCGCAGACGGTGGAGGTTTGAAATTGCTTAAAATAATATCCTTGGTGCTCGTAAAGTGAGATATTTGCTCTATCATCTGTAGGCATCCAGTCATCATATCGTGCTTTCCGTAATTTTGTCAATTTGAATGGTCCGGATCCACAACTTCCTGATGATGAGCTGCAAGAGTTCAGCCAAGATCAACTTTTCTTTTTGGGCTTTTCTCAGGCAAGTCAATAATAAGTTGAATATGCTTCGAGAGGTCATGACTATAAAGTTAGGCCACACTTGTTTAGGTATGGTGTCGAAAACCGCTTGCACCATCCAACTTGTTGAATCAACTTTTAACGGACGTGCATTCTCCAGCAGAATATCGCGTCTTCGGTACTATGCAGGTAAAT